CTTGATTTGAATATTTAAATTAGCGTATCATTAGTGAAGTGATGGCTAATGTAACCGGCTGTCAACTGACTTTGATTCAATCATTTTAAAGTACGTTTAGCATTTTCGTCGTCTTTGATTCTTGTGCGCATGTACTGTTTGCGATTCGTTATGATTTCCTGTTTCTTTGATTGCAATAAATCAGTTTTTATTTCTCACAAAAAATATACTGATAACAGATCGTTGAAATCAAACACTTTCATTTGCCAGTCGATGCATCTTAACACAAAGTAAAAGTGCACGCAAAAAAGGGTGCAACAAAGACATTCCTTTCTCTATCCTATCTTAGTGCTATCGATCATGTGTAGCCAAACGGGAATCGATTACAAAACAATCAGCTTAAAGTACTTAGTTGGCCAATGATAATGGCATATATATGAGATAGAGTTTTTCTTATCTTTGGTGTCATTTAAGTTCATTATGACGTCTTGATCGTTTGACACGACTTTGGTGCAACTTGAGATTTTAAGTAAAAATATAGGATACAGGATACGTTTTGATGAACGGCATTATACACTCTATGTCTAAGAAAGCAACACGAATATACCAATGCATGCAATCATATCTTAGAAAATAGAAATAGAAATTGAAAGAAATTCAAAAGTTCTATATAATAAATTCACTTTAAACATTCTCAATTAGGCGAAACAATTTAGCGTATTAAAATTTTAGGGTAAACTACCTCAAAGACGAATTTCCAGAGCTGCAATATTTTACAATAAGGGTAAGCATATTCTGATTAATTTACAGTACCAGTTATGTTAAATGGTTTCGAACAGTTAAAAAAAACAGCTCAAAATATGTCAAGAAAAATATTTGCGCGTTCTGCCTTCAAACAATTAATGGTCGGTAGAGAGTTTATAAATTAACATTGACTTCTCAAGTAATACATATTGATTATAAAATCATTTATCAAGTAGGTATAAGTATCGCATTTAAGTATTATGACCTAGAGTAAAATATAAACAAAATAAAGATTTACACGGAGATCTATGTAAAAGTAAAATGAGAATAAGACCATGTGTTCCGGAAAAGTAAGCGTTTTCTGCTTCATCGATGGCACCTGCCATGTAAATTTTTGCGAAATATTTTCAACCATTCATGCAAAGAGGAATATAAATATTGGTAGATATGCTATTTATTGACAGAATGATACTTCTATCTGATATGTTTTGTATATAACTTAATTTCACTGACTAATTAGATGCAAACGTAATATGAAGGCAACCGCGAATATATATCTATATTTTCTATGAATCTTCCGGAACGTAAAACGCAAAATTGTTCAATAAATATCACACTTTTAACTTTTAACACAAAAGAGATATGCATAATCGTTATATATCATGAGTCCATCATTATCGTAATGAATATTTCATACCCAAGTCATTGTGATTTAAATAATGGTCTTCTCACCGTATTGCGATGTGTGAATATTCGTGATGTGTGATGGTGTCAATATTCCCACTAATTCCACATGGAAAATATATGTTTAAAGCTTTCAAACATTTGAAAAGTTCATAAATATTGGACATCTTTTTGCACTAGATTATTATATTTACTCGTTTAAGAAGTGTTTCAGATCACACCTGTCATTAAGTCGTAATCGAAAGGTGATATTTTATCAACACTTCAAAATGGAAGATTTACTTTTTATCATAGTCCGAATGTTTAAATTGCTAGAAAGAGCAATAGCTCTAGACCATATTCACCTTCAATCTAGCGATACAAACATTTATTCACGTCGACTCCAAGTGGCATAATTCACCGACACCTGATGGCTCAGAGAACTCTCTATTGACCGGAGTATTGAAGAATTCTATAAAAAGCCTTATTAGCGCAAAGTAAGGGGTCCTGCGTCAACGGGAAAAAATGATTCATAGTATGAAAGTGAGAATTTGGTTCAAGTGTAATGCAATAATTAATGTTGAACACTGCCTTCAAGCGATTCAGGCCAAATAATAACTATGATAGTTCTATATCGGGTTTGTCATACAGGCAAATTGTGTTTGAATATAGATTTCAGAGATAATTGCAGGAAATTTGTTTGAATTTGATTCGTATTCCAAACGATTCAATCTAACTTCAAAAAAAAGCTTCGTTGAGGGCGATTTAACGTCGATTGAAACTTTATCAGCATTAAAACGTCCATTGAAACTTTATCTGCACTAAAATACACGGAAGTGCGTCATCTATATTACAGTGCGCAGGAGTCAAAAGTACTGTCATACTAGCAAAAATATTTTTCCGAAGTTGCATGCATTTTTTTCTGAAGGGTGACATGTGAAATGTTTGTGGAAATTAAATGCTGTATACTTACCTATTTCTTACCAAGGACATTTCTAAACCTCGTATATCCTGGATCATTAGACATACATTCTAGTTTTAACCTAAGCTCCCGCCTTATACGCGTTCTGTTTATTGCTACCAAATATATCACCATGGTATAAATTCCTTGTCTGATTCCTTCGGAATGCATGGATTGTATCAGTTTATTAGCACATCGCATATCATAAACATTAAACCATAAGATTGATGACAACATGTACATTTCATTATATTACATGGCTTAGTTCTTGTTTCGTTTCGCACCTCTTCAATCAGGATGAACCCAACGAATTTACCTGCAAAGCCTTTTTTCACGATAGGAAATCTCTATAAATACGTGTGATTGACATAAAGTAAAATTGATAACAGTATTATTTCTATGTGTTCGGTCGTACAATGCCGCATATTGAATATCGAAACCTTCTAATACCTCTTTCCTGACAGTATCAGAGCAATATCACTTTGTGTGTGACACAAAGCCCTTTCTGTGTGAGAGATGACAGCTGAGGGCAATGATCAAGAAATATAGCATTTAAATGTAACGATATCCTGAAACTATAGGTCAGATTCTTAACGCATCGGGATATGAAAAAGTCAGATCTTAAAAGCTTTCCATTTGCTGTTATTTCGAAATAAGTTTACCTTTGTCTTCTGTTGTTTTTCCTTTTTTTTTTTTCACGTAATTTGACATTAAGATATTATGCTCACATTTCATTGACATATAGAGTATTCCAGCTATATCATGCGATGTAACACAGATTTGCGTCTGTGTGACCTCGATGTATCTCTGCTAATTGACCAACTGTTTCTGATGAAGGCCAAAACGCTTATCCTTCCGGTACAATTTGTCCTATTCTAGTCATTTTCGTGATAAATCCTACTATGTTTATAATGCCCCTTCAATATTACGTCTGATGACAAATGTTTGTGTGTCTGTATATCTGGATTTTCTATTTTGTTTCCATATGTGGAACATGATATCTTCTTTATCAAAGTTTATCATAGATTTTCCAACTTAAGGAGACATGGTATTGCACAAGTGGACCTACATCAGATATGCGATAACCTTGTATATTTTAAACTATTAACAACATATGGGTCTGTTGATTTGACTCGAAATACGGAATTGAATGTAAAAAAAGAATAACACAGTCTCATACGTACAATTTTATTTCTATGAATAACAGCAGTATGAGAATGTTTATCGTTGATGATTCAGACAGTGTTCACTAAATAGGCTTCGCCCTGAAAGATAAAACTTGTTCTCTCATTTCTAGTGTTAGTTTCTCTGTAAAACTAATTCCCCTTTGTAAATACCACAATGTTGTGGGTCAGTAATGTAACACAATGTTAAATAGAACAACAATGACTTACTGTAGAAATTAATATTTTCGAGGGGTTTCTTATTTTTGCTACTATAGAGAATGCAACAAAGTTTAAATTGATAAAGCTATTGCTCATTTGGTGATTTTTTTGAAACATACACTTTTCTCTGATGAAATCATGACAATTTTATTCACAAAAATAAAAGAGTATTGGTAACTCAAATCTAAGATAGGTCACTTATCTTTTGTTTTTTACAATTTTGACCTCAAGCAACATTGCTGAGTCACACAAGAGACATTGTTTGACGTAGTTAAATTGATTAACTCTTTTGCATCAACTGTTTTTAACTGTATTTGCAACCGAAGACTAATTGTGCAACAAAATTGATACATTCAATAAAAAAAAAAAAAAAAAAAGCCTCGAAAAAAAAAAAAAAAATAAATAATAATAATAAATAAACAAATACAAACAAAATAAAAAAGACATATTGATCAATATCACATTTCATGCTAATAATAAATTGGTTTCTTTAAATTTCTATATGATGCTATATTTGTTATACGTCCCATTTTGATGACAAGGAGTAACCCTGCCTGACTTGAGAGAGGATTCCCGAACTAACCCTGAAAAATTATCACATTTCAAATACTGAACTGACGACAATACAAACATGACATGTTTTCTATTGAATATCGGCTTTATTCCGAAAAAAAGGATGATAAAGACAGATTACATGAAGCGGAAAGGAGATCGATTAGTGAAAAGTTACATGCTTTATCTACAACAGAAAATCTTTGAATGTGATAAATCTTTAAATGTGAATTTTCTCAAACTGTATTACATTTATTTTTTAATGTCTTCAAAGTTACCACACTAATGGAAATGATATAATGACACCAAAGCGAGAACATTAATTACTGGTATCATTATTATGCAATGATTGATAAACAAAATGAGAGCGAAACCCTAAAAATATATACCCCACACATAAATTTGGTTAAATTTCATTTGACCCTTTAACCTTGAGCGACGATCACCAAAATTTGATCAGTTGTAAAACTCGATGTTGTCACAACGCATCTTAGTCCTTCATGCGATTTATAGATACAGCTATTCATAAATACACCAATCTTCTTGGAAGAAATACAAGGAAGCGATCACTAGACTGCCTCATAAGATTACTTTTGAACTCAATGAGTCTACCGAATGCTTTAACGTATACGGAATTAACTTTTTCATACCAACACAACGGAGTAGTTTTCGATAGCTCATCTGAATGTCTGTTTATTATTAGCGTTTATGTAGTTTCACACTCTGTCATACTTCATACTTTGTTGTTTTACCCCATTCTCATTGAAAAAACGATGGCTCGATTGTTTCATTGGGGAAGGAGTGCGACAGGGATATGATGTCATACTCATTGTGGTGTCATTTCCGGTAGAAACCCTTCTACCACCATTGGACTTTCTGTATGACGCCATACCAAATGAATCTTTGTGAGACATGTTCTTCAAATGCTTTCTTGGAATGCAGCATTTCATGTGAATACACACGATCAAACTGTGACGAAATTTTGAGTTCATCCAAAAATAGATTATCGGATTTATACCAGAGTTACTGAATGCTAACCAATGAGCAGTTAGCCACATCATATGTACATAGTCGGCGTCAAAAATAGATCGATCAAGATCTCCAATGATGTTGATCACGTGAAGAGGTAGCCATGACAACAAATACGCTATCACGACAACAATTATCATTTTGATCGTCTGAAAATAGAACAAAAATATGAAAATGAAACATTTAAAGGGTAGAATTTCATATATTTCTTGTTTCATATTTTCAATTATTTATACACAAAATGTAAACAACAACCTGCTAACAAGAGATTTATTTTACTCCTTTGTTCAGAACCCTTATTGGGAGACAACCAGACGTAATAAGGAATTGTTTGAACCTCCAAATATTGGCCTCTTAATACAGGAATGGCTGAATTGGTATGAAATTTCATTAGTAAATAACCCTTATTCAATGTCTACATATGAATGGTTTTATTGCAGCAAACTTTACTTATGAAAAATTAGGATAATGTAGCAAAATAATAACGTTAATTATAATGTATATTTCAATTATGTTTTCACGCTCTGGTGTTATATTTTTGTCATCGGCAGAGCAGAACGATCTTAAAATGGGGTGAGTTTATATGATATCAATCGCACGCTTTAAAGCGATATAAATCCTTTTTGTGCATAAACGAGATCATTACATTGGCGAAATTTACAAAATTCTCACAAATTGCTCTTGAAGTGTAAACACTGATAAGGTGGTCACATCTTTAGATCACTGTGACATTTCCAAATGTTCACACGTACATGCATTTTATTAGCTGAGTCGATGACTTATGACTTATGACCTCATTAATTATCAGTGTTTCAGACAAAAATAATCATTCGGGTTCTCTTATGAAGCCTTACCTTTTTCTTAGACGAGGCTTGCCTTTCGTCGCGTGCAGAAATGGCCTCCCCTGGTGTTCGCTTCACCCATATGAGTACCCCGATGTGGATGTAAGTGACCGCAATGATGATAAGAGGCATAAAGTACTGCATCATCATAATGCAAACTCCATAGACACTACGAACGAAGTCATCCGGCCATTGTTCCACACAGAGACCCAGGGAACCTGGCTCATAAGCCATGTATTCAATGTGTGAGTATATGAACGTTGGAAATGATATCAAACAAGACATAACACAAATACACGCCACTAAAATTCTGGCCCGACATTTTGTTAGGAGGCGTGGCTTCAGAGGTTTTGTGGCCACGTGATACATGTCACATGTCATGGCAATTAGCATAAATGACCTTAGTAACACACTGGTTGTTTGCATAAACATCATAATTGGACACAAGAAACTCCAGAATGGCCAGTAATGGAAAAATAGATTACTTAAGATGGAAAAAGGTACACACAGAATCGTCATGATGATGTCTGTGATGGCAAGGCTAACGATGAAAAAGTTTGTTACTGTTCTAAAGCTTTGGATTTTAAAATTTGTATAACATATCATTCCATTTCCAAATAGAACTATCACACATGTTACGGCGTACATTCCGAGCAGGATAAATTGAAATACTTCAGGGATACCGTAGTTGTCCGGAGAAATCCCATTGGATGAATTGGCAGTTAGGTTTTTGTACGTACTACAAGTCGGTTCCATATTGGTTTCTAGCACTCCTCTACAGAGACATATACCAAGCAAATCTCTCTCTGCTTATAGTCAGGCAACGCAACAATCCGAAACTGTTTTCGAAACTCTGACATTTGGCGGACAATTCAATTCCCAAGTCACAAACTACTGATCCAAAAATCCTTACACTGCAGTTGCAATTTCCTTCTTACAGGGACGTCGTTGCAAACTAGTATATACCTTAGAACTAATACAACAGCTGTAGAATTGTATTGGGTTCATATATCCTTCATAAACTTTTATCTGAAATCAGAAAAAAAATCAACGAATATTAAATCATTCTTAAAGTAGACACACTATTGATATGTCACTTAATATACCATACTCATAAACATCATCGTTTTTTTAAAATAATGTACGTTGAAGTGATCTCAGGAAATGCGCCGTTTGATATAATATTAGATAAACTCTTTCTCACTCAAGGTCTCACAACATATGAAAAATGTAACATTATGTTGAGTAATATTTGTGGTCACTTCAGGGATAGTCTCGGGATCAAACTTATGACGTTCTTCTCCACACCACATTCAGACTTTGATACCTTCAGATTAATAGATAAATATGATAAATTGCCAATATTCTCCAGAGCACAAAAGACATTGAATTTGACTTATGTATTGATATTGAAGTTGCAAATCATGTTCGTTTTCATGATTCAGGGACACAGGTTTTTGAGAAAGTGTAACTGTTCTGATGTACTTTCCACTGCGGTATGCTGATGTATATGGCTATCATGGACTCCTTACCAGAACTGATGATTTTTCATTGAGAGCTCGCTTTTGGTACACTGGAGACCAAAATAGAGATAATTCTCTCGTGATTGCGCCATGTCTTTATCTATAGTATATGGTCCAGCATGATTTTATTATCGACTTTATTGGTTGTACACTGCTTACTTTTTAATGAATAAAACATATAATCAGACACGTGTAATTATTGTGATAATGAGCTCTATACATTATAGTTAGCTTAACTGTAGCCTACACTTCTCACGCCAAATTTTTACCTTAAGGTAGCTGTTGATACTTTCCCCGTGTTATCATTTCCTCAGTTCCTAATGTGTTTCTTTTTTTTCATCGACATCCCGCTAATGGATTATGCAGTAATTGCAATTTTTTTTAAAATATCAAAACAACAACAACAGCAACAACGAAAAACAATAAACGCAATTACAACAACAACATCAATAATAATGTAAATGAAACTACAATGTTGTTGAAAACCCCCATTACCTAGTGATAATAATTTTGTTTTGTTTTTGGTCTTTTCACGTACATGTTGTGTAAATTGATTATATGTTTTGCGCCGAGAAAGGTCATTGGGTATTTTGAAAACAAAATCGCCATTCCTAACACTAAGACAAAAAGAGGAACCTTTTGCACTTTAAACCAGTCATTAACTGTTTTTCAATATCTTGACAACCAACGTCTCTGATTGGCCAAAAAACTTTAGCACAGATTGTTTTCTTTACCCGAGAGACGCTTGACGTGTTTGATATTTGCCTGTTGGTTCCGTTGTTTTATACCTTGTTCTCCTTTGAGAACGTGACATTACTTAGTTTAATCCAGATTTACATGGCAGGTTTCATTGATGAAGCAGAAGACACTTACTGTTCCGGAACACCTTGTCTTATTCTCTTTGTACTGATCAGGAATCTCCGTGTAGATGTTTCTCTTGTTCATATTTCCCTCTAGTTTTAATTGAATTTCAGTTTGGATTTTGATTTTGTTCACATGTGGTCATTTTAGATTCTCATTGCGTGCTCGGATTTTGCCTGTGTCAGATCATTATCTATCTAGAACTTTGAGAGGTGTTTTGACCAATCAGCATGTAGGGAAAGTGGCCGTCATAAGATACATATGTACTTTTAAATGCATTAAGTCTGGAGAAGTTAAAAAAGAAATAAAACACGTCTTTCTATGCATTTGAATTGTTTTCGTCTAGTTTCTGCGAGACGTAGGACTAGATATAGATTTGATCTGTGGCCTAGGATCGCTTCATGAATACTGTCTGGTCTCAATCTTGTGTGCTGATTTTAAAATGGCACACAGGTGATTATAGCCCCTTCGGAATTATACACAGTAAATTGACCTATATGATACAGTTTCATTAACTGAAGGATGGCTAAGTCCGAAATAATTGGCGATGCAACAAACTAATCATTTCGGCAGGATTAAGCATTCTTATATGATTCAACATAGCAAATACAATTATCACATATATCAATGATTGTCTCCTGATGTTTGAGTTAAACATGATTCAGAAATACCATCATACCTACATATTGGGCCATACACAATGTGCTTAATCTAACAATTCTATTTATAGGGAACATCTAGGTTGTGTTAATGACGCGATCGAATTTATCAAATCCTAACACTGAAGACGTCAAAATACCTGGTAATTCATATAATACCCATCTCGATACTCCTGATGTTACGATCTTTACATCCTCGATACTCCAGGGGTAACGATCACTACATCCTCGATACTCCAGGGGTTACGATCACTACATCCTCGATACTCCAGGGGTTACGATCACTACATCCTCGATACTCCAGGGGTAACGATCACTACATCCTCGATACTCCAGGGGTTACGATCACTACATCCTCGATACTCCAGGGGTAACGATCACTACATCCTCGATACACCAGGGGTAACGATCCCTACATCCTCGATACTCCAGGGGTAACGATCACTACATCCTCGATACTCCAGGGGTTACGATCACTACATCCTCGATACTCCAAGGGTTACGATCGCTACATCCTCGATACACCAGGGGTTACGATCACTACATCCTCGATACCCCAGGGGTTACGATCACTACATCCTCGATACCCCAGGGGTTACGATCACTACACTACATTCTCGATACTCCAGGGGTTACGATCAGCCCAGTATTGTTCATTAATTTGCTAATTTCATCATATTTATTGATCAGTCAGAAAATAAAAGGTTTTAAATCTGAATTTTATATAAAACTAGAAGTGTCAAGAAGATTTATGAATTCATATAAATCTGGTGGAGGGAGGGGTTGGATGCTGGTTTTGATCGATCTGTACGGTAAATAGTAAGTATATAATTGACAGACAAGGGTTACAAAACATTTCATAACTACAACAACTGTAGGAATATTTGTGCTTCATGTTTCAACAGACATTTTGGTCTTAAACATATTACAGTCTTTTTTTACACCCTTCAGCACAGTATCGCAACTTGCTTGGTGTTCGGCACATGAGTGCAAAAAAAAAACACCATGATTTTTAGATCGTACAGAGTGTAAAACAGATTCATTGAAATCGATTTAACACATGACTCTGATATTTTTTTTATCTCAACTATCTCTAAGCTGGACGTGCAGCTAATTTAGATATTTCTATTTCCGGTTTGTACAATTTTCCTGAATTTCAGGAAGTAACCAGTCTTAAGTGGCTTGTTTCAACATCAGATCCGACTGTTCCATATCAATATTAAATCGAATGTTTTTAAAAATTAAGAAAAAATCCATAACTTCAATTCAGTAATGAAATTTTAAGTGACATTCCAGTGACATGAATTATAAATGGTGCTTTATTGCGAGTACGGTTGTTATGGAAACTATTTCAATGCGAGGTCAAGGACGCTTTGCTGCCATGCCACGTTTCTATATCACGGTCAAAACGGTTTGATTGGTTTGATCAGAATGGAAACAACGGCAAACTTGGGTCTTATTTTTATGTTTTCTAATGAACATTGGCAGACTTTCAAGATTTTATCAACATATGGTGGTCCACCAGGATTTATGCCTACAATATCAGAATTGATAATAAAGAACCGGGACATAAATGAAGAGGCCCCAGGCCAAAATATTTGATTGGTGTCAACAAGGTACAAATATTTTATATTTCTCTTAAGCGATTTTTACTGAATTATTAAGAATTATGCGTGACGTGGTTGTTGATTGTTTTCAGAATGGCATCCCCTGTAACACAGCACGACGGATGCACCCTAAAGAGATATCCGGGGTAGGACTGGTGAGATGGTTGTTAGTAGTTAGTAGTTTTATTCCAATGCTTCTACTTAAAACAAATTAATCAAACCACAGATATATTTGCAGTTTCCATTTTTAACCTACTTTTCCTATAATTTTACAGAGTGTTGTCATCATAATCATTCCATTTTATTTGACCCAAGCAATCATTTCACCAATGCTGCTTAGCTATATCTTTGATATACGGGGGCTGATTTTTATTTTCATCAGAACAGGGATGGAATGATGCGCTTTATATTTTGCAATTTTAAAAAGGATCAAGAACCGATTTGAAATATTTATAGTCAATATTTACTTATTCCAGATCTGTAACTCGTCCTGATAATCCATGCAAAATTTCGTGTTTGTATACCTTTCAGATTTATGCTAATGAAAAAAACCTCCGCAACGGAAATACATTGAAACTTGACGCTTTCGCCCAAATCACTGTGTCAATTACTCCGCCACAAAATATAGTTCACAGGCAAAACATCATGTTAGCGTTCCAATTAAGAGCACGTGAATAACAATAGATAATAACTAACTTAAACATTCTGACGTGTAAGGTATTACGCATTTTATAATGAAATATTTATTTCATGTCCTACTTCCGATCAAACCTGAATTTCATATATATTTAAGATTATTTAGCTACATAAACAGCGGCTTAAAATGTAAACAAATGCGGTAGTGGTAAACTAATAAATTCATAGTATTACTTCATGCAATATGTGTATATTTTAACAATTTTGTGATACCGAATGCAGGTTAACTGAGATTGATAATAAACGATAGTTATCTACATTTTACAAACGAAGCGTAAATACAACCGGCACGCAAAAACTGGGGAAAGTACGATGTGAAGATAGATCAAATCCAGAAAATACTGTGTACTTAAAGTGAGAAACGAGGTAGCGAAGATTAAACAAAAAGATACATTGCAATGGATTACAATTACGCCAACCTTGATATGACATAAGGATGTAACATCATGTACAAATTATGTCATGGCAGTGACCAGATTTACCGTCGTATCTATAACCTTGTATTTTTCGAAATCATATGACATGGAAATAGAGATATTATATACAGGGGACAATTCCCCGCATCATAAGTTTCTGTCGTATCCCAAGTATGCCATTTCAGTGCAAATCAAGAGTGGGTGAATGTTAGTAAGTATTCTAGAGCGAATTTAACAATGGGCTAAAAACTATGAAATTATTTGAGAACGAAACACAAGTCCTTAGTGATTGGTTCTTCCTATATAAAAAAAGAGTAAAACAAATCTTTCATCACAGTAAATGCCATAGAAGCACCCAAGTACTGTAAAATCATTCATTTTCGTGGGGTGATATCATATATCCACAAAAAATGATAAACATATAAATATTGACTTGAGTTTTAGTACTAACTTATTTAATTTATCATTTTAGTTATCAAGTCAACATCTTTTTTTTTTTTTTTTTTTTTTGAAAAATTATGAAAATATATCCCCGCGAAAATATAGGCTTTTACAGCAACTGAAAATTGATAATTGACTTACAGCGAGTATCGTTGAGTTCCTGGTAGTTATGCGGAGAATAAGTTGATTAGAAGCATTGATCGATCACAAGGAAAGCTATGCTTATAATGTCAGAGAGTGATGGAGGGGCTTGTAAATTGAGAGTTCATCTGTCTATAAATCTGTATAAACACTGCTGTGAAATATGTCCCTGAATGATACCCTATCTATCATCATTTTTCCTCCTTCATATCCAAAGACTTAAACCTAAATCCTGAACAAGACTTACACTTCCAATGTGAATCTTTTAACATCAAGGAATATTGAACTATCAATAATCGTCCGCCACACTCCATAATCCGTCTTCATTAACAAGACTTAACGATGCATGAACAAACGGAAATTTCAAAACGTAGGAAAAATAGAAATCAGGATTGTGCAAAGAATATTTAAGAAATGTATTAAACAAACATCAAATATTGCTGAAATGCATCTGACAATTTATTAAATGTTCCAAAGCAGTTATTTTACCCTATTTTCCCTCACATCATGTCCGCGATCTTTCGCCAGATGTTCCCGGGGGTGATTCAAGGTTATTTCTTTTTACCATCCGTTTTGTTCTAACATAAATCATGTTGCTGGCGACACGGACCAGACATCATAGGTAAGTAGATGATTACAATGCCGTCAATAACCTTCTACAATCGCAATGGACTTTTGAAGACGCGGAGAAGCCGAGACTCCCACGGGACGAAGCATATAATTGGTTCGACAATATTGCATTCACTTATTTTGCTGCATGCGTTAGTGAAGTAAAATCAGCATAACATCTCTGGTAAGGTGAGTAGGATTTATTGGTAGTAACACATACATCCATCAGTTTGATTAGTTTTACTTTAAATAATTCAACACGAGAACGATCGTGACACTTTGGGAATCTTCGATAACTTATTTTTGCGCTCTTCAACGTACATGAATTTAACAACAGATTTGAGAAAATGTCAGTGTAGTGCTTTTTCAGCAAGGTTGATTTCCCATTTTTTCATTTTCAGTTAAATTTCTTGAGTATAAAAAAGGCATTTTTTCTTTTAAAAAATGTGTCATTGCACACAGGGTAGCTAGATCACATATCCTATATGTGTTGTTATGTACACAAACCGTCCCCAGACAATGATATATGTTATTATGTACACAAATCGTCCCCAGACAATGATATATGTTATTATGTACACAAACCGTCCCCAGACAATGATATATGTTCTTATGTACACAAACCGTCCCCAGACAATGATATATGTTATTATGTACACAAACCGTTCCCAGACAATGATATATGTTATTATGTACACAAACCGTTCCCAGACAATGATATACGTTATTATGTACACAAATCGTCCCCAGACAATGATATATGTTATTATGTACACAAACCGTCCCCAGACAATGATATATGTTCTTATGTACACAAACCGTCCCCAGACAATGATATATGTTATTATGTACACAAACCGTTCCCAGACAATGATATCTGTTATTATGTACACAAATCGTCCCCAGGCAATAATATCTGTTATTATGTACACAAATCGTCCCCAGACAATGATATATGTTATTATGTACACAAACCGTCCCCAGCCAATGATATATGTTATTATGTACACAAACCGTCCCCAGCCAATGATATATGTTATTATGTATACAAACCGTCCCCAGACAATGATTTATACCATTATATACACAAACCCGAAAATTAATTTCGATTGATGATGTCATTTTGCTTGATGGATTAATATTTGAAACTATGAATAATACAAGAGCCTCTCTCTGACAAGCTCTGATTATCAAACAAATTCAGGCGGCGCGCCATTGATAGAGACATGAACCTGTCAACGGAGCGACCTCTGGTGAATAAATAATGGGAGATAACCAAGAAGTAAATCTTAGAACCGGATCAAAAACAGGGTCTTATTACATCATATATAAGATTATTAGCATTTTCCGGACCCGTCGTTTCCTTCTGGTATGTTGTCTGCTTGTTTACATATCATCTTCTAACATCCCCACACAATTAATCACTTCTGACACATTTGATTATTTGTTCTATGGTGTAGATTCTGTGAGTTCACACTGTTGGGAAAACCAATCAGTCAAATTCCCCATTGTATGATTGAAATCTTCCCTTATTTTTAGCAGTATATATTATTGTATAACATAAAGAATGGTGATTTTAAAATAAAATTGAAAACAATCCAAGATTTCCGATGTTGACGCTGAAGCAGAACATGCTTACCATTAACGGAACAGATGGTGTTATTCTCCTTGTTCTCTTTCAAGGGACGAGGAAAAGGAACCATTTACTTTGCTTAAACTGTTTTCGGGGTAACGAGATTTGATATAAAGGCTTTTTTCTTTAACAGTACCAAACATTAAATATTCCCTTTCAAGAAACATTACTTCTTAGATAAATTTCTTGTAATTTGAAAAGCTATCATAAATACAGATTTTCTTTCGTTTTCTTCGTTACAATGCATGATCTGGAGAAAAGAGATTTCTTTTGTGGGATGAGGTTGGTTGCCTTTTAAGGCGTCGGAACTAATCAGAATTGTATTGTTATTAAACGATGTTTAAGCACGTCATGAAAATCTTATAAGATGTACTATACAAAGGATTACACAAGAACCATCTGTATCTGAATAAAGATAAAACTGGGATTATCTGGTATCGAACACACTTCTAGAATATTGCTTCTTATCTCTAAAGATCTGGTAAGGATCGTAATTAAACACCTAGTACAACAATGCTTTTGTCGTCAATTATTGCTACTTTTGGAATGAACAACAATGTATATTTTTGTCTCAACGCAATAAACCCTATAAGTGCACTGTTTTGCTAGAGTTAGTGGCATCTAAAACCTAATTAATGTCTGTCAATCACTATTCAAATACGTAACTTGAAATGTATGGGTTATGAGTCCACTTCTCTGGGAATCTCATTGGAGGCTTCAATGTTCACAGCTTCTATTTCTAATATATCAGAAATTGGGAATTTCTATATTGTTGCATTCGTTGGAGAAAACCTTTAATCACTTTTTGTCGCTTTTGCAAGAAACTACGCAATACGTTTGTGAGAGATATTTTCTGTGACAAGCCTTTCTCGTTCTACTGGTTCCTGAGTTTGCTGTCATCATCCCTTGTGGTTTTAAAATATGTATGATAAAAGAAAGTCATGTGAAGAAACTAGAATGATAAAAAAAGTATAGATACATTTTCGGTCAAACGAATTATGTGTATATCAGGGTTTACAAACATATCGTTATCCTTTACAGTCGCGGCTTTTTTTCCCAAGATCTCCAATACGACCGGAAGAACCAAGGATTCTGCCCGCCAATGAGAATTTACCAGAGAAAAGTTCTTTCTAGGTGTGATGGTTAGATGTCTTACCTTTTGTACCTGAAAGCATGTCTCGTTATAACAATTAAGTAGATCATCGCCCCAGTTGAAACTTCTCTGTCATATTCTCCTGTAGAAGATAAAAATGCTATTTATAAACTCTACTTTCAATTTAACGTGAAAGTGAACTAGTGATATTCATTTCGCAAAAAATAACCATTTAAGTGATGGAAAGCTTGCTATGTGAGTTTTATTTAATCAACATTTTTGTTTTAATGCAGAAACGACAGAATTGTAGATAAACTACTGCCTTCCGGCGTTTTTATTTTTCTTCGTCGTTGTCATTGTCGTCAGCATTGCTGGTCTAAAACATATATTCTTTCTTCCTATTCTGTTATGGTTTGCTCGAAATTAATATGTAATAAATGTGAAGATATGACCATTAACAGAGACGAGTGACGTAGCAAAAGCTAATTCATGGATAATTCAGAGAGTGTTGATATTGTGTATACCGCTGTAGTAATGGGAGGCAAATGACGTGTTTTATTTCAGCTGCTGTATCAGCAGAGAGCACATCACAGCGGTTAACCAGTGATATTGGAACAAACATCTTTATAAGGTTCAATTTAATCCATCACAGTCCCATCCTTATAAAGATGCATCTGATATATAGAATATAATTAATTTTTGTAACGATAAAATTGTCATTTCCATAAAAATTATAAAAAAAAGTTGCATTGTAAATGTTTTTGATTCACAAGCTTTATATTCAGAATCGCCATAATTTGTTCTTATCTGTCATCTTTGTCAATTAATACAAATGATCCAGGTGACATTTCATTACGAATGATTAAGTTTCATGATTAAAACTATCATCTAATAACCGATGTTTTATCCCTTGGGTCCATATTTGTCTTAAAAACAGCAATATCATGTTTACTTGTTTTTCCCCTTCATTTCCATTTTAATCAATATTTACTGACCTACGATGTGTTCTTTCAGTCAGTCAATTTGACACGAAATTACGAGGTTTCTACACGAAGTGTTAAATGTACCGATCGTAATTTTGTCATAAAACGAAAAATAGGAAAATGTACCTCGATATACTATGTCCTTTGATGTGTTTTGATCTATAAACTAAAAATAACGATATATGCCAAATGATATATTTTTTAGTCCGCATCAAATTCTTCAGTCAGGCCCTCCACAAATAACCTTTAAGTTATCTAGCGCATCCGATATCGCATAAAAACGAGGAACGTATATCTTGTCAATTAAGCAATGATTTATTGGTCGGCTTGTTTAGGAAATCAACATTATTTTTGTACTTTGCAGTTTGATGATGCCAGAAGATATATTTTACATGACAATAAAACAGATTTGATAACTTCCGTTTGTGATTGACAGAGTTCTCGACGGTTTTTTAATGTGCAACCAAATCCATGTTTTCATTATCTAAAACTTCCTTGGCAAGTTCCTGTCAAAATTGTATTATGCAATACCGTCAACATCTTGCAAAAACGTTTATCATCATCACTTCTTTAACAGTTTTGATAAAGAGAAGCCGATGCCTATTTTGTTCACATAAAAAACACAAAAAACAAGCAAACATTAACATTGAAAACGGATATCTATATAGTCCTTTGTCGATAAAGTGCTCTTGCGAATGATAAAAAACATATATTTAAATACATAAATTTAAACTTTATTTATTTTACAACAACATACTAATCATTTTTGTTGACCCGAAAGTAAGAGCGTGAGGGGTCTTGATATGGAAGTAACGGAGTACCCGAGGTCGAGCAGGTGACCTTTCACCTTTTCACGTCCGTTCCGGGAATCAAACTCCGGACGGCTAGGTGAAAGACGAATGCGTTATCACTGTGCCACCCGAGCGACGTTTATTGAGGTTTTAGCTATATCTGTTAAGGTGAGGAAATCATGTTCCATCAGATATTTATTCATTGAAGCAAGTAATTTTTAACGTTCTTATTCTCAGTCTTATTCAGTCACACCGCATCTAAGTATAATAAAAAAAACACACACAAAAAGAAAAATATTGAAGTTTGAATCCATTGGGGTTGCTTGGTATTTATAAAGTTTTATAATAAGTCTATGTTTGTATAACAGAGTATGTTACAGTTATAGGAGAGGACTTATATAATCTTTGACTGTTGTCCAATCCTTTTGTTGCTATGACAACAAAAATATTCTGAAATTGAAATTTTAGACAAAGTTTCAGTGTAACAAACCTCAAATCGTACAGTTTTGATTTAAACTACATTCAATGCATTGGTTTGTTTTTAATCGGAAGTTACAACTTTCCACCTAGCTGTATGATAACCGTGGTTATTTCAGTTTTGACATTATGCATTTAAGATTTTTACGTATTAATAACGCTGTTTCTGATTCGAAATTCAATTATATAACACGTAAGAACTGGCAGCTGAGCATTCATCACTGGCTTTTGTGAGATACAGGTTCACTAAAATTAAAGATAAGTGACATTTTTGCTTCCGTGACCTTGGGAAATGGCCTACTTTTTAGTATGTTACGGAGATTAATGTGCTTGATGATCGGTATGATGCATTTTGTTGTCAACCTTGTTCAGATTGACAAGACGCTTACCCTTCTGGAACGTAAAGCTAAATTCTCCTGTTACTTCTGTCATTGGTATGACATGATATCAATCTTCATATTTGCCCTAGTTTCAACTATTTTAAGTTTGAATTCGGTTTTGTTACGAATTCAGTTTCATTCTTCAGCTAGCTACATTAACTTAACATTAAATTAGATCTGAGACTACATCTACCGTTATGAAAATAAGATTAAATAGTAACACTGCCAAAGAGAGAACCGAGGAATTATTTTGATTGGTAATTTTCAGCTTATTTTCTGTAGGCACGACAAGAAATATTTTTTTAAATTTTTAGGTAAAAACAGTCCACTAGAAAATTTCTGAATTTAACACTTCTGTTTTCGTGTATATTATTAGAAATGAAGTCCCTACATTGATGATACTGAACTGATTTATGACATTCTATAAATAGTAACGGTGGCCTTGACCTTGACCCACATCGCTAGAATACAGGCGTTCGTCAGTGAGACAACGCCTAGAAATAGGATGAGTCAAGGTGACAGAAAACCTTCAACCAAATAACATTTACTTTGACTCTGAAATCTTGAAACATAAACTCATCCGGGTTATTGTCATAGTTGATCTTTTTCTAAAGTTTGATCAAACCTCTTCAAGATTCCGGACGGGACGGAAGTAATAATGATAATCTAATTCTTGATTCGTAGTTGCTTGTTAAAATAAAGGTATATCACAGGATTCATCTCTAAATATGAGTATTTTATAATCAAAGTGACCAACATCATCGGCTTGATGAAATGACCGGATATCGGGAGACATATGAAAGTCAATAAATCATTGTGGAGATATCTCGCAGGTCTGAATCGACAGATAAATATAAATTTTCCTTTATTTGATAAATGATTCACAATATATTATTGGCGAAAAACTTCATCAAACATCGTTAAATTGTCAAATTTTAGTTAGTTAGACAGTCATCTGGTAGCGACATCAGACACTGTAACTCTATAAATCAGCTGCAAAACACATTCACGTGACATTTACATGATCCAACTTCGATGCAGTCTTTGAATGTATAGTAACCGACTTCTACAAAGGCTGTTTCTATTCCATATGTTTTCCTGTCAAACATTGCAGCTCATCGTTGTAGATACCGAAATATCGTGGGAGGAATATAAATAACCACTGAATAAGGTTTATCTCACATCGGTTGATGCCGGTACATCTTTATCTAAATTAAGTACAATTATACAACACACATCCATCTTTACAATGCCTGAAGACTTGGAACGGATCCCGAGTAGAAAACATACTAGCATACGTAGTCTGTACTCGGAGACAGTTGGTGCTTGTTTCCAATGATGAAAAGAAACTTTGCAGCTGTGCAATAGAGATATTTGTGATTATTGTTAAGTTTATTATTCCGTTATCATTGAAAGGCCATAGTGACAATAAGATAACATCGATTAAGATTTTAGCATTATCATTCGACTCGGTTTGTCTTTAGTTACTAGTTGCGAGGTTTAAAGAGATGAGCGCTTACGTAATCCATCTAAAAGTATTTCACAGGCTTTAGTTCTACATTTTGAGTTTAGAAATAAGCATTTTCTTGAGTTCGACGAATGGTTATGTTGTCATGGTGAAAATTGCAGAAAATATTAAAACACACGAAAACAAAGAAAGGGGGAAAGTGAAAGAAAGAAAGAAAGAAAGAAAGAAAGAAAGAAAAGAAATTTACGAGAATTATTTACACAAAATACTTGCAAATAAGAATAATTTTCAGCATTAGGAAGGATTTGATAAGTATGCAGTCATAGTAGAAACCCGTTTCGTTAACTCCACAAGATGATCGTTCGAAGCTGGACTTACACAATTAGGTTCAGAGTATATGACGAAACAAAATCTCGTGGCACGAGGTGCAGATTAGCAAAAAGTGAAATAAATAATCAACAACTACACGGAATGCTACGAAGGACGTAAAATACAAGATCTGGCCCCAAGTGCTCAAAGCTTGGTTAGAAAAGTCAAATGGTGAGGCGAACATTTTCAAATATAAGCAAAATTTTGAAGATTTTTTTTTATCATGTCACAGTTTTTGATTGTACAATTGATATTTTTGAGTTTCAATTCTGCTTTGAAAGTGTTTTTTAAAGCAGCAACAATTTGGATTTTTGATCAACCACTGATTAACTCTTACCAAACCAAGCTTTGAAAATTGATAAAATAAATAAATAAATAAATAATAAAAAAATAAATAAAATAATAACCTCTCAATCCTGCACATGGATAAAAAAATTACCTGATTTATGAACATCCTGAATGCCATCGACTAGAAATACCAACAATGTACACGACAAGGTATTGGTCCTAAACCTGATACATTAAACCCTACATCCTGTTGATAATCATACTCTCTTATTCACTATTAATTGAACTATAATTGTCTTCTTTACCAGTTACCATTGATTTTTAAGAATGAACACAAAAAATAAAATCTCTACGTTGTATAATTATACAGTTATAATTACATAGCTCGTGGCTGTGTTATTGTGTATGAATATTTGTAGGGAAAGGAGGTGTTACCAGATTATATTTTCTTAGAAATAGTCATGAAAACGCAACCATATAACATATAATGATTTCAGGATGTTGTCAAGAAAAACTGGTCGCTAAAAATAGATATAAAAGATATCCTGTCGTTTCCCCATGAACCAGGTATATAAAAACTACGTCCATGTTTTGTCAGAAACTGTTTGCATTTTGCTGGTAGTCACGTTTTGATCGAAGTGAAATTACATCGGGATATTTATCGTCCATGATTTGGCACCAAGAGAAATATTCAGTCACCCCTAAATATGCTTCGATGTAAAATAAATAACAATTGTTGTATTTACATTTGATAAGCAACAGTGCGAGTTCGATTGAAAATCCGAATCATACCGGAAGTAGGTGGCGCCACATGGCGTCATTGACTACGCGAATAACAACAATATACTAGTTCCAAGAGGAAACGATAAAATCTATGTTTGTAGGCACAAATACATCATGTAGTATAACATCTAGATGGTTTGCATGTTTCTTCACATTTAAACTGCCTTCATATAAGGCTTAGGAATGTAACCAATCATCGTGAATTTACAGCCAATGTAGGTAATGAAAATACCTACATTCTTGGGCCAGCCGAATCATGAGTAAATAACATCGGGGTAAGTTTAACCTTCATTTATATAAAGATATTAACTTTTGTGGGCCTTACTGTGGGAGAAAACCAGAGTCCATATGGGAAACCAACTTTGCCGGACATGTGACTTTTTATGTCCTTTCTGGTAACCGAAGCCCAGACGGTAAGGTGAAAGACGAGTGCGTTACCACTGCGTCACCAGACCCACCTTCGTTCACGTCCATCAGTCCAAAAATGCTATACACTGAATGTTTAGCAGATATTGTATTTGAAGGCAAAATGGATATCCGGTAGAAAGCGTTGTCGTTTTAGAGCAAGCCTGAGTTTCCTGGGCAACAACTTCGTCATTATTATTGTATTCTAAAGTATTTATACGAATTATTTGCAATTAACCTCACTATTGTTTTTGCAGCTCTAAATTGTCTTCAAAGTAATAGAAAATATGTACAAAAAAGGCATCTACCTATTTGCAGTAATGTCCTTTAATATCAATCCATCCGCTTTAGAAATACCAAGAATTTACCGCAACCAACTCGTAACATAACAAAATAACACAAATAACAGAACGCGGGCGTCGTTCTAATTCCCGCTCCATACACACATATTGCAAAAATGCGATTCCATTAACACTGCAAGGCCATGTCGACTCGAAATCGATTTTATTGTAGTATGTTGCATTCCGTAAGGGTAGATCAATTAGTTACGGTTCCTTTTTGGAAATATATCATGCGTAATTAAATTTGTGAGTGACACCGACATTTCGGAAGCATTCATCCTTTGTAACATTACGCAGTTTTTCGTGCAGATTCAAAGATTCCGTGTTGTTTAGAAATTGGAAAGATTTTGAACAATTTCATCATTGAAATTAGCATAGTAATTATACCTTTAAGGCATGCAAAGGATGAGTTCGTTTTCGTTTCTCAGGCTGTTGTCATTGTGGCACCTTACTGAATACAGGTTAACTGAATTAGAATACCTGATATAGAGTCACGGGGAAATAGTTTCTCTTGTAAATATTTCTTAATGATCGTACGCAGTTATTTAGTGAAACGATCTTCCGGAATCAATTAGGTTGCTTCATCATAGTGTTGTATGTTAGGTTACCGAAATTTTATCAATTCCGGAATTAACCTTCCGGTTACCGATTTCCATTTTACTTTGACGTTACACTCCCTGGTATCTTTATTTAGTACAATGAGCTAATGAGGTAATGAGGTAAGCAATTTGCTTAGAAGAAAAGACAATCTGATAAACAGATTTAATTTTTTTTTTCATGCAAACAGGTCCTGGAGCTTACTATAATGCATTTTTGTTGTAATTTGGCATATACATTAAACTTCATGACATTGGAACCTAATTGGTATGGCCTTGCGTATTCGCAATGACGTAAGTACCACTGGAGGAATGAAGAAAATAAAAGCACAAAAACATGTTTGTCGTTACCCGGCTGCTAGTCATAAACTTTTTCCCTCGAGGAGTTTAAGGTTTGAATAATAGATAAATAGTACCTTTATATGTAAAGATTTTTAACGATTTTCCATAAACTAGCTATATAGTTCAATTATACGAGGAAAATTTGTAAAAATTAAACCTTAAATCTAAATGAGACAATCCGTCATCAATGTTAAGATTTTTAACGATTTTCCATTAACTAGGTATATTAATCATCTATACGAGGAAAATATGACAATCCGTAAAACCAGTTTGGTAAACCCATATATTTTTAGCGGGTTCGCTTTCAGAAGATTTTCAAAAAAAAAAAAAAAAAAAAAAATTCCTGGACGTTCGATTTCGTGGATAACTATAGCTCAGTTCATCTACTTACACTAATTGCAACAGTTCCTGTACATATAAATTTGCGTATAAAGAACAACCACGAAATCAACGAAAATAAAACTCCGCCGAAAATGAATGATCTCGAAGGACAATGGAACAAAGTGTCGAGTGGCAGGGTGGTCGGGTGGCGCAGTGGTAACGTAATCGCCACGCATTCGTCTTTCACCTAGCCGTCCGGGGTTCGATTCCAGGAACGAACGTGAAAAGGTAAGGCCGACCACGTGGGATTTCCCCAAGTACTCTGGTTTCCTCCCACAATAATAACCCCCGGGCTAACAAGTGTGATTAGTTTAAGTTGAAATAACATGTTTCGCAATTGTAACATAAATAATGTTTATATTTTATGGAACAGGGAGATTTGCCATTGATTTGGTGAGATATATAAATTCTAGAATACTTCAGAGACTGGTGTCGTGTTCCTCAGCATGTTCAGTGTTTAAGGACCCATCGACTATTTGATTCATGAAGACATTGGGAATCTCAGCGGTACCAAACTGTTTACATGTTTCAGTTTTAGCACTATATCAATGAATCGTATTTCTCAACACGTGGATAGAAAAAATTTACAGCCCTCTGGGCGTATATCGTGAAAATACATACATGCATTACCAAATAACACCTTGTAAACAGAAATTGCGACAAAATTCTGCACGTGCATTATACAGGCTATCTCATATTTTACATGAAACTAAAGAACATATGCACCAATTTATATCGTACAGATATAACTTAATCAACACATCCTACTTTAAAATCCTACTCTTCTTGTAGAAATGATTGGATTTTGCCTAAATTTGGTCTGAGCATTCTTAGGTGAAGGGGAATCAGTTATGTTTAAATCTTGAGCCTTGTAGACCTGGGGCCAGAGGGAAAATGGAGCATATTATTTAAAATTCTACTTCTCCCGGAGGAATGATTGTATTATGACCGAATTTGGTCTGAAGCAATCTTGGGTGAAAGAGATTAATGGGTACAGGCCTTTTGGACCTCTTGTAGTATTATTAGAATGCAATAGAAAGCATACATACAATGGCAAGTGTTCATTAAAAGTTTTACAATAAATTGAAGCACGTGTTCACCAAACATAGTTGAATAGCTTTGTTAAATGTTGAAATAAAACGGCTGTGTAAGTGTCGTAAACATATAGATGTTACAGTGACGCAGTGAAACATTTGTTCGTGTGAACTGGAAAGCCAATCAAGAAAACATGACAGAAGAAACCACTGGGAATATCGCTTATATACAACAATCATCATTGTTGTTAAGAAAACAAACTAATTCAAGGCGTGAACAAACCCGTTACTTATACTCAAATTCAGACAAACAAGGACAACATGTTAACAAAGATACTGATATAGGGTCCTTTTGAACGTAGAAGAAGAATGGTGCAGTGATTCGGGGGTCGGAATAGCCGACACTCACCTTCCATGTTGTGAAACCCTAAAGCATACGTAATGCATGACTTATTTCAATGATAAAAAGAAACAAAACATGCTAGAGTGATCGTGGCAGTCACCGTTGAATGATTTTTATTTTGTCTTTAGAAGTTGAATATTTTTCTCCCTTTTCCCTTCCTTTCATTGTTTCTGCTCTTTGTTACATGAAATTTGAAGATTCGCTTTAAGTTATAGTATTAATTATCTTAACCTGGCGGCCATTTTGTTTTTCTGGATAGTAACGAAATCAAAAAGGGTACATGTAACAACGGGAGCCTACATGTGAAATTTGAGATATTCTGAAGAGTTAGCAATTTTTACAGTCAAAATCCATGATGGCGACGTGTAAGCCATCTTAGATTTTCAGATTCAACCGAAAACCAAATGGGACACAAAGCACCAAAAAGAACTTACCTAGAAATTTTGGGAAAGATCGATCTGGTGCTAGAAATAACGATAACAAATTTTGATCATAAAATCTTGTTCTCCTTTCTTTTTTTCTGTTAGACTCAGAATAAACTATTCAGTAGGGACCAACCTACATATAAAACTTTTTAAAATGATCGCTCAATCACTCCGCCAAAAAACAATGAAATATTACATTCTCAAAATCCAAGATAGTCGCCTGTGTCATATTTCGCTCTCGTCCGGAGAAAATCCATGGGAGAACCAAATCAAGTTTGAATTATGAATACCACAAAAGGAGGAGCGAGTTTGTTACTATCAAGAAAGTAAACATTCATAGCAAGAAATTCTGCCAGAGCAGAAAATATGAAAGACAGAAAATATTTCAGGCCGCAGTGTTGTGTCTGCATTCTATTTTCAAGGACTTATTAAAATATCTGTTACTGATCGAATTGCTAAATTTTCACATATCTAATAACGGAGATTAACGGTTACGTCACGTATCAGATACATTGAAATCACCTATTTTCTTTCAAAATCTATCCTTTTCATTTCTTTTCAGACTGAAAGGTATATTTCTGTATGAATTAGAAAAAAATGTTTAATTTGCGAAAGAAATTCGTAGATTTTACTGTGAAAAATTATCAAGGATTAGAGTGAGAGTGGCTGCCAGAAATGCTCCTACATCAACCGTTTAATTTTATGGAATTAATGACTTAAAGTTGAACAGCTGCCTAACTATCGAGCAAAGAATTTATTTCGTGTTGAAAGAGCTTCTTTCAATTTCAGAGGCAATCATAATCCCATGACAAAAACGATACCAAGGACTGTTTGTTACACATGCACTTGTAACAATAGTTAAGGTCATGTAAAGACGATGTTGATTAAAAGTTTGGTCAACCAGTGTCAAAGCCGTTTTAGAAAAGAAAACTTAAACACAGCAGTGTCTTCAGTGGTGTCAAGACGCATTATCTGTATTTTGAGATAGTTTTTCAAAAAATTACATTTGGTAAAAAGTAATTTTACTATTTAAAGGATTACTTTTTTCACAAAGAATCCAATGTATTTTGGCAAGAGAGTCGCATACCAGTTTTGCTAATTCTAATGGAAAAATCTGAACGTATGACAATTTTAAAGCTTCCCCTGCAGTCATTAATGTGGAGAGGAAATAATGTCAACAGCAGAATGATGTATTAAAACGCATACTGCATCACCACATGGGACTGATCTCACGAATACTGAAGCCAACTTATAGAAAAAATGTCAAACTTTGCATAAGAATGCATGGTGCCATCTTCATAATACTGCATAGCCGGTTATATTCGCGGGGGTGATATTTTCGCTGTTTCCCAGTACATTAACGCGACCGCTAAAATTTTATCCATGAAATAATGAGACACGTGTGCATTAGATGTCCTTTTAACGTTCAGAAGCGGTCTCTGGCCATATCATAATTAGGCCCCTATTGAACACGATTGGCGTGTAAATTTCCAATGCGTGTAGCCTTACTAGGAACGATTAGTGGATATCTCATACTCTGGTGCCACTATAAAAAGATTTAAATTTAAACTTTACTCTGTGCAGTTTTTTGTCCGACGTTAAAGTTTGACCCTGGCCGCTAGGTCAAATATTGGTAGTTCATGAGCCGTTTACAGAGGTGTATTGTGACTGTAAAGGAACGACAACTGTGGTTAAGTGTTCGATCCCTCCCGTGATAAGGGACATAACTCGATGTAAAATACTTACAGCTTAATGAGAAATCTTGTCTGTGTGAGGTTTATTAATCATTCTATTGAATACTGTTTTCTATAACAATTTTGTTTCATCTGGAAACAGATATTTTTAGATTTTAACCGATGTATCTATTCCGTTTATAAACGTATTAAAACCTTTACTGTCTTTTTCTAGCAGGTATTTGGCCGATAATTGAATGTTTCCCCGACCATTGCTGACGTAATCCTTCTGTGTAGACAGTCGGTGTATTCAGTAACAGAGGCGTATACTAATGATTGTGGTCAAGCACATAATATATAAACCACCAATGTGATCAATTCTCATTCACTCGAACGCTTGTTTTTCTAGACCATTATGCACGTATGTCTCGAGTGTTGCTTCTGGACGATCCCTGTGCTATACAGTCTGCTTGCCGTCCTTTACGTAATACCTATATTGGGTGGAAGAAGTGCACTGCACCATTCAATTAAACCTATCCCTAAATGTTTTGTGTTGGGGCCATTTTTGTTAGGAAAGCATTTTCTGAGAGTCATTATGAAAATACATTCCGGGGAATGTTCCTTCCGGAAATTGGAAAACTGAAAATTTCGACTGGCTTAAATGCCATCAGATTTCCCTGAAAATGATTGCAGTTATTGAGAACGCATACTTTACTGATTGAACTGACATTCATATGACCTATGAATGAAATTGCCGGTGGTTATGCTATTGATTTTTCCAATAAGAAAATAACTATTAATGTACATAAAATAGAACTGTTACACACCAGTCCACAAGAAAGCTTTCAACCTTGCTACGGTTTTAGCTTGTGCTCCGAATAAATACAAGCAATTAAAAAAAACCCACACAAATCGAAAGCATTCCAGAATAGATAATAACAAGAATGGTATGATAACAAAAGTGTTTTCAAGTTAAGGCTGCAGTCTACATATTATGATTTGTTTTCATATTTTCCCGTAATAGTGTCGATCAACAATACCGATATATGAATATTTGGACTTTTTGTGTGATGGACATTTGATAATATTGACGGATGATTGAATTTCGATATGTAACCCTGGTGAAATACTAGCCGCAATATACCGCTCGGCTAGCGAGAACTTCTCTTTAGCTCGATTGGTTGAGCGTCAAACTAGTAAGGCAGCGGTCCAGAGTTCGATTCCTAGCGGAGGCATTGAAATAAATAATGACATCTGTTACAAATATATTCCCGGTCATCATAGATGGCGCGAACTTATAAATCATTTAACATCAATGAAATTATAAGGAAATCTATATTTTTTTTTTTATTTGTATACATGGATACCAATATCCATGATCGTGAAATAAAATACCATGAACTAGCACAAACTGGGACCATCGCGAAGAAGCACTGTGAAATTCAGTATATTTTGATACAGCATCAAACGAGTTGTTCGCAGCCATTTTATACAATGCCAAGGTATTATAAAACTAAAATTTCTGTAGGCATGACATTGAATATGACATTGATACCGTCAAACATGTGCCTGATTAATACATTTTAAGCCCAACTCATTTCACAAATATTTCTTAACAGAACCCATGGATAATTTCAGCTTCCCGTTTTAATTTTGCCCAAGACGTAAACATCCGAGTCAGCGTGAATATTTTAATCTCAGGAGAACAATGATTGTTCCAAAATTCTAAAATTCTTTCCAGGCTTTTGAATGAACTAAAATGGAGTGCAAAAATGGCAAAAATGGCAAAAAAAAAAACAAAAAAAAAAAAAAAAAAAAAAAAAAAAAAAAAAAAAAAAAAAAAAAAAAAAAAAGAAAAAGAAAGAAAAAAAAATCAAAGAAAAAAAAAATGTTTAAACGCATGAATCTTGAACTCGTTGGAAAAAGTGAAACCTACATCACGAAAATTCAAAACGAAAAGAAAATTCTACATCAAAAGAGACAAAAAAATTTAAAAAAAAAATAAATAAATGAATAAGAAAAAAATAAAATAAAGAAAAGACCTGGATGACACAAAGAAATCATAAACAAAGTTTTTGCCTGGGTCACATCTGGCATATATCATGATGTCTCCAAACCAACCGTATATTGATTACCAACGAAGTACTGCCCATGTTTCCACTCATACGAAACATACTCAAATCCCACACAAGGAATGAGTAAACAGCAATATCTCAAGTTGTAAAAGGCCTTGTGGAGTAAAATTTTGGTCCAATTGGCTGATAATAAAAATGATAAAACTGAATTCTAAAGTTTATACACCAACAAGGAACTAGCGGACATTGCTCATGATATGTAAGGTTACACTAAAGTGAAAAATGCATGATAATTACACTTGTTATGAGGGGCTACTACAATTACTTATTTACAAAATTTATAATCTGTTTGTTTGTTTGCTGGCTTGCACGGTTCACCATCTAGTGTCTTTTGTGGTGGAGTCTCCTCGTAGTAGCTGGTGACACTGAAAACATACGGAAGGCCCGACACATACTATATCCAGAGACAGGTCCGTTTCTCAGCTTTCAGAGAAAAGCAAACCACCAAGAGTAAAACACATCGAACCACACACCTCGGGTCGTCACCTGGGGTTACATATGCCAATGTTCTAATATACAGAGATATTGTGGTGCCTGGTTACAAAATAAAGCTACTGTAGATCTTTGCTGCCAATAGCAGTGATTACATAAGGTTTATTGTACGTTTCTTGATTGTCTCTAGCATTACACGATTTCATTTAATCACTTGGGAGGTGTAACGCCTTCCGCCAAATTACACCGTAATTAAGTAAATAGTATAACACCAGTAATAACTAACGAATTATACAAAGTAATTCACTAACAATGAGACACATGAAACAAAATGCGTGTTTTTTTATT